TGTGTGTGTGTGTGTGTGTGTGTGTGCTCTCTCTCTGGCGGACAGATTGAGAGCAGCTTGTTAGAAAGAGGAACAATGAGGCCACAGCCCCTCGTCTATCTGCTGTTTTCTTTTATTTCCTTGCTCTTTTTCCCTTTCCTCTTATTTCCATCTCCTTTTCGGAACACATTCTGTTTCTCCTTCTCACCTCTTGTAATGTTGACTTTCTCACTGGCTGATCTCCCTCATATTATCTTTTCAATAATCTTATCTGTTTTCCTTCAAACTCTTCAATCAATTCAACTCCGTCTTTGTCTCCCTCTCCTCCCCCTTCCTCAGTATTTTCTCTCCTCTCTTCTGATAATGTCTCGCCTGCCGAAACACCTTCCTCCGTTTATTTCTGTCTCTTTCTCCTCACCTTGTCTGCACGACGCACACGGTGACATGCATGTTTCCTAGCACATGCATGTAGGTGCTGCGTACTAGGCAAACTCTGCTCTTGTTATGTTGACATGCAGACGCCTCTTTCATACACACATTCCCCGTGCACACTCTTTGCTATTTGATATGAGTGATGTTGTGATTAAATGGTTAATTAAACACCATTAATGTGTGACAGACATCACTGATGTGTAGGACATCAAGATGTGAGATGTGCGTGTTTGAAAAAACTCTAATTAATAATGATGGCTGTCATTCTGCCCACTTTTAATTCTTACTGTCATCGAGCCCAGCCTGTAGGGTCTGTTGTTATTTATTATTATTATATTTAAAGCAAATCTCCTTTTGTGACGGTTTACTGTAAAGTAAATGGCATAAAGGGAAAGCAACACAATCGGCAAAGAAACAAATCCCTGACCTATGTGGGAAAGGAAATAAATACTTTTTAAAAGGAACCAAAAATTGTAATATGTAACTTTTTCACTGTCGGGTGTGTTTGGCCTTAATTTTCATAATGGTTCTTTTTGGTAAATGTTGTTATGAATATACCTGCAAGGAGAAACGACTAAAGAAATGATAAGCGCTATATTGCATTTATTCCACATGAAAGTTGCGCACGTTATAACAAACCCCAGTGGGTCAGACGGTGTCAAATGAAGCTACACAACCACTGGTTCAGGATGCACATTAGAGGGGAATGATTTGCCCTCTTCCAGGGAAAATGGTGCTACAGGTGTTGGGTTACCCTCCTCCAAAAGCTCTTGTATAACTTTTTCGACAAATGTTACAAATCTGTGAAAACCAAGCTTGATCCGCATTACAAAAAGCCTCAGAAAATTAAATATTACTGGCTTTTCCTTAGATATGTTTTGCGATTTGAAGACCTAGAAATCCTACTTGGCAATGAGTCTAAACCTGTCCTCCTACAATCCTCCCTCCCTCCTTCCTTCCTTCCTTCGACCATCCCCACCAAAGGCTGGAAAAAGAGCATTTTGTGTTTGAGTTAATGACGACTCGGCCCTCTAATAATTAACAGACGTATTAAAAGTCTGTTCTTCCCTGAAAATGACCGTACGTGTCTATCACTTAACCTCCCCGCTGTACTTGACCACAGTGGAGCCTGTGAACCGGCTGTCCCTGGCCTCTGTACTCTGTTATTTTGACAGAGAGCCAAAAAGACTGACAGACGGACAGACCCCCCCCTCGTGGTCCTAGCTCTCAGCCCTCTTTTGTCCGCCTGTCCTGCAGCATTACCCCTATGGTTGTAGTCTCCTAATTGCTCTGAACCCTGCAGAGATGGGAGACTAAGCACAGGGTTGTGAGGGGTCTTCAGCTCTGATGGGCTCTCCACTTTTCTCCCACCCATTTCTTTCTTTCTTTATGTCTTTCTTCTACTCAGACTTGCAATTGAACAAAGAGTGCTCATTTTGTTAAAAAGCTGTCCTAGTCTTGGTGACCCGTTCACATCTGGCTCTGCTGCGATGACGGCGTCTGTACTTGAAAGTCCCTCGCAAGAGTTAGACACAAACACGCTGGCAGAAACGCACAAACGTGGTGCTTTTGCTTCCAAGGATTGTTTGTGGTGTTCTTTGTAAAAGCAGCTGAAGTTCGAACTAAATAAGAGACTGTTTAGAAAGGAGATGACGCACTAAGAATCATTCTTTTGTATCTGTTTCACGTGGGTTTTTGCCACTGTCAGGCCTCTTTAAGTCAGGTAAACACAGATTATGACTGCATCGTAACCAAAGCGATTTCTGGAGACTTTTTTTTTACACGCCATTTATTTTCCAAGCATTCTGCATGTCTGAAAAAGGCCATTTTAGTGTCAATTCACCAACCGGTTGGATTTGTCTCTGCAACCCGCTCTTGCGAGATCTGGCAACAAAGCGCGGGAAACATTAGTCGAGCTGTGTCCATTTTTTTTGCTAATATATCTACTAACTTTCTGTAACGTCCTCACAGACAAATGTATGTAATTTTATGTTTGTCAGCTTTTTAAGTAGCTAACATAATATGTAAAAACATTGGACAATGCCCACTTCAGATATTCAGATGTATACCGTTATAACTTATAGAGCACCTTAGTCATATTACAGAGATTATTCAGCCATTGACTCTGTGATGTTTACACAATTTTGAAATCTGATGTGAAAAGTGTCATAACTATTCTGTACTTTTTAAACATGTTATTAAACCCCTTAAGTTGGCTATGCTTTTCCAATCTCAGGCACCTCTCCAGCCACCCCCGGGGTCCTCGGCCTCAGTGGTGGCCGCCGCAGCAGCAGCAGCGGCAGCAGCGTCGGGGCAGCCCCAGGCCCTGAAGCTCACCTACCCAGAGACCCTGGACCGCATCAAGGAGGAGTTCCAGTTCCTCCAGACCCAGTACCACAGGTGGGTTAAAAAAAGAAAAGCCAAATAGTAAAGGAATTTACATAATTATAAAACAAGGAAATGTTCACACAATCAAAAAATATGTCAAGCGTTTTCATTGGCTCCCCTCAAATCACCACAACATCATCATATCTCAGGAGCACATTGGGTCATATGAGCAAATCAGCAACTACATTTGTGTTCAAAAGCCTCGTTGGAGGACGCTTATATTTTGAAAAATGTGCAGTAATGGATAAAACAAGAGTTTCTTTAACAGTGTTTCTGAAGTGCATCTGGATTATATCCACTTCCAAAAGGTCTTCCACTACTTTTTCGGCTAATTAAACTTCATCTGTATTATAGAAAGCCACCGGATCATGAACAACATTACAGGCTTTTTCTTTATACTCGTCATATACAATCTGAACTGTCATTTATCAGATCTAGAAATCCTACTTGGCGAGGAATCTACATATGTACTCCCAACAATATTCCCACTTTCTTTTAAATGCCGTGTTACAGGCTGGAAAAAGAGCATATCTTGTTTGAGTTAATGACAACTCTGTCCTAAAAAAGTAACATAGAAACCATAAAAAGTAGTCTGTGTCTATTAGAAGTGTTTGAAAGATTCAAGTAGCTGCAGGTACAGATGAGGTTATGAAATACGATCCCGGATGAGTTTGAAGGATGTCAGACGCCAAAATACAAATCGGTTTATAAGCACGGTTTTACCCATACCACTCTGTTTTTTGTTTTTATAGACATTTTAAAGAAATGATATGGTTATTAATATGTTTATATGGCATGCACAACTAAATGGGACACAGTTTAACATATAAATCATCTAAGTAACAATCCACAAATCGGAGAAAAAGTTTCCTGATAAGGAATGCTTCATAACACTCATATGCACATAAACTGGATGGAACTGGACGTTTTACCACCCTGATGTTATCACATAAATAATATCAGAGTTTATCGTTTCTCTGTCTGGTAGACTAACATGTAAAGGGTAGATTTACCATTTTCCCACCAGTCATTTACCAGGAATGTGCACATGTATTTGCTCAGTGTGTTGCCAGATGACTTTACACCAAGTTTTGGCAAAAGTCGAGCCGGGCAGATTCAACTTTCCAGCCAGCTACTCTTTTTGCATTACTGTCTGATGTGTTGGATGTGCAGGAATGTTCCCTGAATGCCTTTGAATGTGGGATTTGGACTGGCTGTGGAGTCCAACCCTCCCTCCCTCCTCCCCCATCTCTCTCTTCTCCTCTCAACCTGCTTTGATTTAGCCGGCCAGAATCCACCCTCCCTCCCTCCCTGTCTGTCTGTCCCACTTCAAACTTCTTTTGTACAGCGCCCCTGGCCAGAGTCCCTAACCCCTGTGGCTACTGCTGCTTCTCTGTACACTCAAATGCCTGTGTGTGTGTGTGTGTGTGTGTGTGTGTGTCTTCATTGCTATGTCCATTCTGCTCGTCAACAATTCAGATCAGGCCAATACTGAGCACAGAATGTCTGGATCCACACGTACTTTTAATGTTGACGCATAGCTTGAGTGAAATATAAGACTGGAAATCTGAATAAAGATATCATTAGCTTTATGATTATTGTGTGGATACTACATTTAGTATTTCCTTTATCATGTTGTCTCACTTATGTATTTGTCCTGTTCTTAACTACAGTATGATCAGTTAAAGATAATGGGACGTTGGCTGATTGAACGTCCTCTTACCTTTCACTGATCGATGCATATTAACACTTTATTTATCGAACACTTAAATATCAGTTCCTTTATGACATTACGGCAGTGCAATTCGTTTTCTTGTCCTAATAGAAGAAAAACTATTGCATTTTTCCACTTCTAGTGCTTATTTTTCTTCATGAATATAATACTTTCTTGAATAAAAAATGTTGAAATATATTGACAAATGGATCTGAGGAAGACCTTTGATTATATTCATGCAGCTGTGTGCTCTTAAACCCCCCACGAGTGGCAGAACAATATAAAACTCACTTAATGGACATCAACAGAAATAAAATAAACAAAACAACTTGGTCATGTCTTTCCACTTTACGGTCAAAAAGACCCACTGTAAGCTGAGCTGCGCCTTCACTCGCTCTTCAACTGAAACCATTCAATGATCAAAAATAAAATGGCGTAAAATCACCCCTAATTTTTCATATAGGCGAGATGTCCAATTTGCCTAACCTTTTTGTGTCATCATCTCAGAATCAGAGGACAAGGTTATCACCCTTCAACCATTTCAAGGAGAAAAAGTCTCCAAAAAACCCATTTGCAGAATAACTGTGAGCGCCATTAAGCCGCACCAACCTGGACAAATGTAGCCGTTCAGTGAACATGAGTCACCTGGATCTGTTGGTGGAGACGGTGTGATCGGCTCTACTGGCAGCCGTTCAATGTTACACCTCGAGTTACAAAACACCTGGAGCGTCGCCCTCTTGCCAAACTCTGGTACTGAGAACTAGCGAGCAGCATAAACAATGAATGAGGGATGAGGTTAAGGACACGGTCGGGAACACGAGCGTCTGCGTCTTCCAGTTTCGATACCACGGCGTCCTGGATCAGGTTTCAAGGCTTTGATCAACCTCTCCCACAAGCTGTTCTGAGCATGAAACTTTTACAGATGAATAATTACACTCTCTAACCACAGCTCATGACAAAAGCAACAGTTATGGAACAGATTATGCCGCCAAGAATCTGTCAGATGAGTGTTTATAATCTGCCAGGTAGTCAGGGGTGTGTTCATTAACGACTGGTTCCGCTGGCTGGTGATGTTCGTAGAAACCGAAGCACACCGGTTGTGTTTTTAAAGACACAGCTACGATGATAATGACCCCTTTGAACATCTATCATTGATTGAGATCGCTAAAAATACTCATGATATTATATTTTAATTTTTTTTTTTTAATTGTCCAACGGCTAAGTGGCTTGTGAAGGATCACACTTTTATCACTTAATAAATTAGCATTTGTTTTTTTGGCTTCTGGGTGCTAAAATGTACAAGCCACTTGAATATTTTACCAGTATTTGGCGGCTGAGTGGTGCTAATTTTGTGGCCTGTTATCACACAACTTTGCTGTCCATTTGATTATTCCTAGTATATCAAGTCAAGTACAATGTTTTTATATCTACATAAGTCAATAATAGCTTTGATCCCTGAAAAAAGGAAAAGTCAAATAATTAATTTATTCTTGTAGGGATTGTTTCACACATTTTGAATAGTTTGTATAATGTAAAGCACAGCAGGGGGATTGCATCGGACATCAATTGTATGTGACTGCATATATTCCCAATCTGCTGAGTTACCAGTTACTAGGTACACTTAGCTTTAAGTAATTCCCTTAATAAAACAATCCTGCAATAGAGCCTACCTTCATTAAGGTTAACATGTCCGTTACTTTGGGACCCATTGTGAAAGCTGCTTTATGTGGTGTTGTTAAAATGGCATTATTTTATTTGTGTGTTGAACTAAATATGACCTAGTACCTATTCATAATGTGGTATCTGAGTGTATATGCTAATATTTGACAAATACTATGATTACTATATTGCCCGGTCTTGTGCTGATGCTATTTTAAATGCACTTTGACTCCTTGCAGCTGAACTATGGATGGTCATGATGATATTACTTTAGCTTTTACTGAGACTTTTTGATGTTTGTGTGCATGTCAATCACCAAGCAGCGCAGTAATGCATGTCAACTTCACTTGAGCCATATGCTACTCTCGGGTCATAAAACCACCATTATGTTGTAAAAGCAGGCGCTAGCAGCCTTTAACATGGCACACAGCACAGTGAACTGAAAACCACTTGACTCGATCCAAAGTGGTGCAACTCCTACAAGCTGTTGGAGGCCAGTTTGCTTCCCAAATCTAACCCATAAATAGTCCGTTTTCAAGAGGTCCAGACAGATAGTGGTCAGTGGGATTAGCGCTGGCCGTGTTGAGTCCTCCAGCAGACGGGTCGGAGCACAGATCCACTTCATTCACAATTTGATTGCATGCTTCACCTTCATGTAATCGGACCCACTTGTACTCTCTCTCTCTCTCTCTCTCTCTCTCTCTCTCGCTCTCTCTGCAGGGAAAACGTGGCCCGAACGCCCACAGAGCCAGACACAAACACACACAAGTCATTCAGGCAGACTCCCAATCTGATGCATGTGCTTAACACACTCTTACACATGTACAGGCCTCCCCAATTATCTCCACACACACAAATAGATGTTGTCTAGAAATAGCAGGGCTTAGTTGTGTGTTTTGTCTGCAGTGAAGGTGGCTGGATTCTGATAGATGTTGGATTAGACGGCAGGAAAGAGACGGAGGCAAGGGATTAGCGCTGATGAGCTGCAACTGTGTGTGAGCGTGGGCGGGGTGGGGAGGGATGGGTGGGTGGCGGCGTGCGTGTCTAAATGTGTGTTGGTTTTGGTGGCATCTGTGTGGTTGGTATGAAGGGACGAGAGATTACTAAGGAAGCTAAAGAAAGAGAAGGGTTGATTAATTAAAGGGTCATTGGTGGGTCAGCTGGTGTGTGTGTGTGTGTGTGTGTGTGTGTGTGTGTGTGTGTGTGTGTGTGTGTGTGTGTGTGTGTGTGTGTGTGTGTGTGTGTGTGTGTGTGTGTGTGTGTGTAGTGTGTCGTGTGTAGTGTGTGTGTGTGTGTGTGTGTGTGTGTGTGTGTGTGTGTGTGTGTGTGTGTGTGTGTGTGTGTGTGTGTGTGTGTGTGTGTGTGTGTGTGTGTGTGTGTGTGTGGTGCTAACAACGGGCTGTAATCAGCAGACTGAGGGGAGATGGGAGGAGCTGCTGACACATAGCTCTCATTACTGTAATTCTCTTTCTATCTATAAACACACACGGGTTGTTTTTGTGTGTGTGTGTGGTCTGTAGAGGAAGATAGCCTCTCCACTTGCCGCTAACACGCTGCCACTCATCACTTACAAGCCCCTCCACTCATCTCTGCCCAAATACTACACATTCTGAGTGCGTGTGTCCGTCATATTTAAAAT